TCAAAGTTTTGTCGCGCTAAGACGTTTTATAAAGTCTATAGTCATAAGTTATGACTCATAACAATTTTAAGCAGTTGCTCGTTTAGTGCTTGTTGTAACGTTTTTGTAAATACAGGCAAAAAGTCAATTATTTATAATCTAATATTAAAGTTAGTTTTTGTCCCAGATTTTTATTGGTACATTGGAGTGTTGTGGAATATTTTCCGGTGTTTTCAAAATACTGTTTTGTGCATTTCTTTGTTCAAAAGATTGTTTTATTGTTTGATTTTGTATGAAAAACAGACAAATAATACGATCTTTGATGCACTTTTTTTAGTTTGCGGTATGTATTAAAAATACAAACAAAACATAGATCAATTTATATTTTACTTGATTAAAATGTATTCGTATTCGTATTATTCAAAATATATAAAATATAAAGTATATAAAAACACTTTCATTCACAATTCTATTCTACTTTCTACGTTTTTATAGTTTTGCATACGAATTTATAATTTATTCAGACTTGGGTAAAATGTATATAAGGTTATGTTCGTATTATTCCAAATATACAGGGTGATTTAGACTTGTGGTGACAAAAGCCCCTGGGCATATTTTGATGAGAGAAATTTCGCCTGGAGGCGAAATTTCTCTCATCAAAATATGAAAAAAGGTTCTTATAAACACGTGTCCGAAAATGCTTCATTATCGAGATACAGGGTGTTTCGTTTAAAAAAAATGAGTTTTTTATTTATAGCTTAAAAACGCTAAATGATTCAAGGATAATAAAAAATCACATAAAGTTCATCTAGCTTAAAAATTTACCGAGTTTTAATTTCCCAAGTGTCAAAATTTTTTTAAATATTGAGGGCCCCCACCAAATGTCGGCCCCAGGGCCCTAAAACTCCTAATCCGGCCCTGCCGGTAATAAAAAGTTAAAACCATTCTATTTTAGCGAGTAACCGCTAACTGCATAAAATGTCAAATCAGTAACCGCGGTTAATAATTAAGCTCGGAAAGCAATTGTTAACAACGCTGAAGAATTTTATGATCTGGCTCGTCGCCTTTCTCCAAAAATTTCTTTTATATTTGTATCCCAAAAACAAATTAAAGAATGAAAAACCATGTTAAATGATAGGTGGAAAGGACTAAAAAATATACCAGCCATTTAATCAAAACATTTTTTTCAATTTGAGGAGGGTAAGAGCATTTGTGTTGCACGAACGTCGAAGTCTAATTTGAAAAGCAAATTAGTTTTGACAACTGCTACTAAAAAAAAACGTAGAAAAGTTACAAAAAAGTTACGCAAAAGTTAGGCGTTTCTGATGTTTACAGCGATTCTGAAGAAAACCTTAAGGCTGATAAATCGCCGACTATTCCAAACAAATAATTTATTAAAGTTACATAGGAAAGTGCTAATTAGTGATAATACAGCATCTATGATCTCATATCTTTAATTTAAAGTTACATGGAAATGTTTATATTCACTACAGTGAGACGTGTTGCACCCGCGATAATTTTATGTTGCACCCGCGACTGGATAAAAAGTGAATAACTTATAATATTTATTTATTTTAATAATTTTATTTAAGTTAATAGTTAGTTTGTTTTGTATTCTTTTAGAGAATGTAAAAATAATTTAATAAATATTCCATAATAAACAGACTTTTTTCATTCTAGCTTCATGAACTTTAATGGTGGGCCGATTTCGTTGCACCCGCGATAGCACTTTGAACCTCTCCTGTGTCTATTTATACATTTTATTAAATGTTTTTTATATTAATTTTTGTAAAACAGATTATAATGAAATCCTGCGACCAGTCATTTCTTTAAAAAGAGTTTTTATTTTCTTAGTAAGAAGCCTTAAGTGAGTCTAAATGTTGCACCCGCGAGTACGGAATCGCCCTATACTAGTTATAACCAGTTTTACACAGCGTTCCACTGTAAGTATAGGAAATGGTCACCTGAAGAAATCATATCGGTAATTTCTGCCATCGTATTTCATATATACTATAGTCGTGACTGAACCACCTATGCATAGGTGGTTCAGTCACCTTTTCTGTCGCCCAGTGAATTAACTCGTACAAACGTAATGCTTCAGTATTTAGTTGTGGAAGCTTTAATTCCCGTAATCTCGAACATTTTGATTCTTTTCTCGCCTTTAATATTTTCGGCAATGCTAGTTCTCTGATCGATAGATATATCTATTATAACCTATTACTAGCTATGTTACCTACAATATATATATTGTAGGTAACATAGCTAGTAATAGGTTTTCGGGATAAATATTAGCTATAGCTTACAAAGATCCAGGCAAGCTAGCACATTCCCTATGGCTGACGTGGGCTAATAGGATTATTCGTTTATATGGGGGGACAGCAAATCCATCGGAAAACCTAAAAGAATTGGCTACTTTTATCATGAAAGTGTATGCCCCAACGTGGATTTACATCAACACCAAGCCTACGTGCAAACATGGTCCTATTCACATATTTAATATGACTAAAAGAGCATTACATCTCCAGAAAAACTTGAAGGCCTTATAACTATAGTTATAAAGAATATTCAGCGAAATATTTATCCCGAAAACCTATTACTTGCTATGTTACCCACAATATATCTATCGATCAGAGAACTAGCATTGCCGAAAATATTAAAGGCGAGAAAAGAATCAAAATGTTTGAGAATACGGGAATTAAAGCTTCCACAACTAAATACTGAAGCATTACGTTTGTACCAGTTAATCCACTGGGCGACAGAAAAGGTGACTGAACCACCTATGACTATGAAATACGATGACAGAAATTACCGATATGATTTCTTCGGGTGACCATTTCCTATACTTCCAAAAATTTCAGTGTCACACCCAAGCAGTGGAACGCTGTGTAAAACTGGTTATAACCAGTATACTGAATCTTCAGTCTCGGTTTGTGGATCGGAAGCAAGAAATGGTTTCATCAGAACAAGAATTAAAGTCAGAAAATAATTACCAAATTTTGATATCAAATGTCAGTATTTTCGCGCAAAAGAAGATCTCATTTCTACCAATAAACACTCCTGAAGTTACTTAAAGCATATGATTTACTATTAAATATGTTTACGTTTCACGTTAATTTTACTAAAACAAACTTTTTATTTATAAATAATGTTATTTTTATTACTTTGATTAAAGTAATATTTTTTTAGAATTTTCAAAACTTCGAGACAGATGCGCCACCTCAAGATATTAAAATATTGGAATATTTTTTCGATATTTATTCATTTTACGCCTTTAGTCAACAATTAATAATATAGGAAAAATCAATTAATAAATTTAAAAAAATTCACTCCACCCTATTAGACAAGTTGTCCCGAGGGTCATGTTTGTGTAACATGTCGCATGTCAGCTTCGGGCAAACTCAATTAAAGATGAGATCGCAGCTTTGTTTACACAAAATCGAAAGTTTCCAGGTAAAGGAGCAACCACAATGACACGAATAACTGTTTCAGACCAAATGATACTTCAATAGCCTTGTTGGGCAAACAAGTAATCACCGTTTAATATAAACAAATATTGGAAATATTACCCAACATGTTGTTTAATAATAATAATAATAATAATTTTATTAATCCAATTGACATAGATAACATTCATATGTATAGGACAAGTCACAGAAATACAATACACGAACTACAATTAAATATACTCGGAGATACCTACAAATTTATTCTAAAAACTTATTCAGTTCATAAGGACATTTCTCAATTAAAAAGTCTTTTAGTTTTCTTTTAAAAACATTATAATTTTTTGTTTCCTTAATATAATTGGGCAAATTGTTAAAAATTTTGATGCCAGAAAAATAGGGTGACTTTTTAAACAAAGAAGTTGTGTGTCTCAGTACACATAGTCTTGAGCCACTTCTTGTGGAATATGAGTGAAAATTACTATTAGTTGGAAATTTTCCTAAGTTAAATTAAAAACAAACTTCATAATACTATATATATATAAATTCCATACAACGTTAGTAATTTTTTATTTATAAAAGTATCTCTACAGGAAGTCCTACCAGGTAGGTTAAACATTATTCGGATTGCGCGCTTTTGCATAATAAATACTCTATTTGCTGATGTTCCTCTTCCCCAAAAAAATATATTATAAGATATGTGCGAGTAAAAAAGTCCATAATAGGCATTTAAGAGTGATGTATAAGATAGACTGTTGTTTAGTGTCATTAAGGCAAAGTTTGAAGCGCTTAGTTTTTGGCAAAGGTTATCCCAGTTTATCTGAGCATCCACTATTAGCCCCAAAAATTTCACCTTTTTCGATATTTTTTAATTAAGGTTATTAAGGCTACTCAATCCACTTAAACGGAGAGAGAAGTATACATATTCAGTTTTTTCAGAATTTAAAATAAGACGATTTCGGGTGCACCATTTTTTAAAACTATTATATATTATATATTGTTAACCTCATCAACATATTGTTTAAGTTTCTCAGGATTCGGTGCTAATACCACAACCGATGTATCATCGGCATACATTATAAGTTTACCCATAATAAATTTAGGTAAGTCATTTATATAAATTGCAAACAAAAGAGGACCTAGAACCGAACCCTGAGGAACACCTAGATCATTTTTAAAGTTTTCAGATAAGGAATTGTTAACTTTTACTTTAAACTGCCTATTTGACACATATGATCGCAACCATTCCAAAATTTTACCTCTAAATCCAATTTTAGATAATTTTTCTATAAGGAAGCTTGCATTTATTGTGTCAAAAGCCTTACTAAGGTCATAAAATAGACCCATAACATGTTTACCCTTACCAGTTCATCAAAAACAAACTGCATAAGCTGAATGGCTGCTGTTTCAGTTGAAAAGTTTTTTCTGAAACCGTGTTGTGAGTCAGTTATTAGGTTATACTTATTTAGAAAATCTACCATTCTATTGTATATTATTTTTTCGATAATTTCGATAATTTTTGATAATGTACTGAAATATGTACAAAAATACTTTTGGTGAACTTAAAACTGTACTTACGCTTGGGATGTTATCGTTGTTGCAAACTCCCTCGCTGAGCAGCCTGTCCCTGATCTCCCAGGCGAAGATGGAAGGGCACTCCCGCTTGAACTCTGCGATTTTATTGACGACGGGCTGCGTGGCCACCCTGGGCTTGGAGCCGCCGATGGCCCTGGGCTTGATGCTCCCGGTCTCGTAATACCTGCAACGATAACTTCATCAGCCAAAAAACTTCGACGTTGTCCCGTCAACCAATTACCTGCCCAAAATTTTGCTAACGCATCCGTTGGACACCTGCAGGATTCGGCTGATGTCGCAGGGCCTCGCTCCTGAATGCGCCAGCTCCACGATCTTCTGTCGCGTGGAGTCGGGCAGGGGTCGGCCGTTTACGTAGACCCCTCCGAGCTGGTTGATGCCGCTGTGGCCGGCTGTGGAGCACCCGAAGATCGTGTTTTGGCCCATGTGGTGCATGAACTCCTCCTCTGCAAGGAACATGAAGTGTGATAAGTCAAAATTTGAAACAATACTCTTGGAACATCAACACAAGTTTTTTAAAAATTCCATAGTTACACGGAAAGAAATACTTTTAAATTAAGTTCTACAATGTTGTATTACTACATTTGCATAGTAAAATTACAAAATGTTGTATAATACAACTTGTATAATACAACTTGTATTGTATTTAGAGATGCGACTTGAAAAAAAACGGTCCGTTTTTTTGTTTTTTTTTCAGGTTTTTTTTCATTGTTTTTTTTCAAATGGTTTTTTTCATATTTAGGGGGAATTCTGCGCATCTAAGCAAAATCTCTAGTATCTTTGTTAAGTTTAAATGTGAAATTTTGCAATTAATACCAGCGAAAGTCTACTATGTTTACTATGTGTATATAATGCGCAATTTATAAAAAAAAATTGTTTGGTATGCAAAAACTACATTTTTTAAATAATGCATTTGCGCAAAATTACCCACCTATCAGGGTAATTTTGCGCATCATAGGGGGAAAATTTGCGCTGTATAGAGAAAGATTTGTAGATATCTAAATAAACCGTTTATTTCTATAATATTATTACCTATATTAAAACATAAAAATAAAACAAAACTATTTTCTCTATGAAACAAACAAAACAAACAAAATCAAAAATAAATAACTAAAAATAAAATTTTTGTTCTTAGAAATAAGAGGGTCTACATGCAGCAGTTGTCACATATGTAGTTTTAGGGGTTATTTTTTTCGCTACACTCCGCGTGTGCCCAAATGGAACTGTTTATGCTGAACAATCTAGGCTCCTGTACCAAAAGCTCCCATATTGGCCAAATTTTGCAGCGCAAAATGACCCCAATTTTTAAGCGTAAAATTACCCCATTGCAAGAAAAATATTGTGATACTAAAAAACATTCCAAAAGTTAACCTAAACAATTTAAACATACACCAGATTACGAGGAAAGATCATATTAAGTTGTGTTATAAACATTTAAGCGATTGGACAGAAATTTATACTTAACTCGTAGCGGAAACGACATGGATTTCTTAGATCAACGTACATGTACATGTATCACAGTTAGCTAGTGACCATGGAAGAATTGTTTATGCGTAAAATTACCCACCGCGCAAAATTCCCCCACCTTCCCCTAAGGTTTTTTTTCAAGATTAGTCCCATTTGCCTAATTTTTTATGTTTAAAGTCCAGTTCATGGACTAAAATTAGCCACTAAATGACATTTAGTAAATGTAAATTTACATTTATATTGTATTTATATATACAGTCTCGCGCTTTGCACGCACCACCACCACCGAATTGACCAATAAGGCCCGCGCTAGTTTTGATTTGGTCGTAAAAAAAGTAACTATCTATAATATTTTTGATTCAGCGCTTGATTTTTCAAAAATACCAAAAGCACTTTTTTTCATCATTTTTCAAAACCATGTAGAGTATGGAAATTTTTTTTTTTTCAAAAAATTTTTGTAAAACATTTATTCATTGGTGGTAAAGTCAGAACATTCCGTGGACCAAAAAAGAAAGCCAAAAAAATTTCGAATTTTTTTATTACGGTAATTGAGCGTTGCACGTTTTTCATTTAAAAATCTAAAAACTAGAAACTTCAAGCTTCAAATTGCTTTTTTACGGCTTCATTACGACCATTTTTAACGAAGATACAGCCAAAGATAATTATTATCTTTGGATACAGCTATCCGAAAAATCTCAAGTTTGGAATTTTTTTTTATTCTTTAATTTTTTCTATTAGTGTAGAAGTTTTACAGTGCTATTGGTTTCTTATGTGGAAACTACCAAATAATGAAAAATGTAATATATTCTACATTTCACTTTATTATTAATATACATTTTACTCAAAATTTCATATGGAAAAATTCCTCAATTTTTTAAGATTGATGTTATTTATTGACAGAATATGCTTTATTGTAGCGGATTTGAAAAAAAAACAAAAAAAAACCGTTTTTTTCTAGGTTTTTTTCATGTTTTTTTTCACATCTGAAAAAAAAACCGTTTTTTTACATCTCTAATTGTATTGCAATTTTAATACGCATTTGTTGTAATATTACATTTTGTTATAGCCGAAGTTCCAATTTTACAATGTTTTTGTTTTTGTCAGATACCTACTTATAGTAATTTTACAATTCTGTATTGTAGAATTGAATTTTAAATTTTTTAAAATTTTTATACATTCGGAATTTAATTTTACTAATATAATCAATAAAATTACTAACCAAAGTTTGCTATTTAAATTACAATGTAGAAGTGTTTGGAAATAAACAAATCATTACTTATTTTATACAACTTTTTGCATTTTTACTATATATCATTTTAATCATGTACACTAGGGTGCTTCAAAAATTAAAATTTAATTTTGTTTTTCGCTCTCACCCTCTCAAATGTTTATATTTAATAAAAAAAAAATTCCACCAAATATGGGCGTTCCAGCTCAACTCTAAGAGGTCGCTGTTTTTATTTTAGTTTCCCATTTAATTAACATGGGAAAAAATAATTTTATGTTTGGAATTTTATACCTCTGTATCAAAGTAACTTATGGCAATAATCATTGCATTATATAAAATGTAACGCTCTACAAAAAAGGTCTCTTATTATTTTTCGATAAATTGATTTCTTCTAGAGTTATTCGAGGTCAAAGTTTGATTAACATCAAAATTTATGTTTTTTTTTAATTTTATGGTACAATTAGCAGACGGGAGGTGAAAGGGGGCAAAACAAGGCAGCGGGGGGGCAAAATATGATACCCAAAAAATTTCGTAAAAAAAAATTTTTTTAGATTGTTTTTTTCCGTTTCTAAATTATTTGAAAATATATTGACTCACCACAATTTTGGAAAACTTTTCATATGCTCATTTTTTCCTTCATTAGAAAAAACTGTAAGTTTTTTTTTACCTCTTCCAATCCCCCAAAATTATATCGACTATCTGCTACAATTTGTATGAACAAATTTATTTGGTTGCATTAACAAATCGTCACCCTAATATAACAAGGTTGTATGTTAAAAAACCGAAAAATTTGAGTTTATGCTTCTACAAGGTTTTATGTAATCCACCCTTGACATACAACTTGAAAATAACTCTATATATATATATTAGGGTGAGCCAAAAAAACTAACCTATCGGATTTATGGGTTAAAATGAACCTACATACCGAGCAAAAAATTTCCCTGCAAGGCAAAATTTTTTGCTCAATTTTAAAAGGTGTCGGTGAGCATTCTAAGTTTTCCATTGAAATAACACGTAAAAAAATCTTTTTTCATTAAAAAGACTATAACTTTTGAACCGTTTGAGATAAAAATTTTTACGTCGCGGATTCTTGTAGAGCATAAAATTTCCCAAAGAATCTATACCATGATTATTTTTTTTAATTCAAAAATTCGTATGTTTGAAAGCTTTGAAAAGTGTAAAAAATCACTAAAACTGCAGTTTGTAGTGATTTTTTACACTTTTCAAAGCTTTCAAACATACGAATTTTTTAATAAAAAAAAATAATCCTGGTATAGATTCTTTGGGAAATTTTATGCTCTACAAGAATCCGCCACGTAAAAAATTTTATCTTAAACGGTTATAGTCTTTTTAATGAAAAAAGATTTTTTTACGTGTTATTTCAATGGAAAACTTAGAATGCTCACCGACACCTTTTAAAATTGAGCAAAAAATTTTGCCTTACAGGGAAATTTTTTGCTCGGTATGTAGGTTCATTTTAACCCATAAATCCGATAGGTTAGTTTTTTTGGCTCACCCTAATATATATATTAGGGTGGTCCTTAATAAGGTTATTTTCAAATTTCTTTGCTCCCAGGGGCTTAAATGCTTCCAAATTAATAAAAAAAAATTCCCTGAAAATTTTAGCTCTTAATATTAACTCTTAGATAGTGCGCATTCCAATCTAAGTTTCCTATGGAAATAACATAGGAAAAATTACTTTTGTTGTTTATAATTTTATAACTTGGGAACGAATAAATTAAAAATTATAAATCATACATATTTTTATAGAGAATTTAACGCTCTACAAAAAAGGTCTCTTATAATTTTTCCATTAGTCTATTTGTTTAAAAGTTATTCAACGTCAAAGTTTAATTTTGATATTATTATTAATATTATCAAGGCTTTTTTATGAGGCGCCGTTTGTGTCAAAATTAAAAGTGCTAAATAAACTTATTTTGTTTTATAAATAATTAATTATATGCTTTACCAAATAATTTTTTTATAAAATTATTTTTTTTATAAATTTTTTTTTTTTGTAAAATTTTTTATAAAATTATTTTTTTATAATTTTTTTTTTGTAAAAAATTTTATAAAATAATTTTTTTATAAAATAATTTTCAATTCGAATTAAAAATTATTTAACAAAAGACGACGGGCGCATTTATAAATTAATTTTTTCTCTATTAGTTTGTAGACACCCCTCTCCAGATACAATTTTATGACGGACTGCGTCAAACAAAAGCCCATGGGCTTTTGTTTGACGCAATTTGGGGAAACGATTGAAAATAATAATTTATTATTTTTATTCATTAATTCATTAATTTTTTTATCTACATTTATTTTGATTTTTAGTTTTTAACAAGAATTCTTTATGTTTAAACGGTTTTTATAAGAAGCACTTGTTAAAAACTAAAATAAATAAATAAAATAATTCTCTTGAAAACAAATTAAAATAAATAAATCAATTCTCTTAAAACAAAACTAAAAATAAAAAAAAATAATGTTATAAAAAAGAATTATTTTATAAGAAAATAATTAAAAAAAAAAAATATTTTATAAAAAAATAATTTTATAAAAAAATTATTTAGTAAAGCATATAATTAATTATTTATAAAACAAAATAAGTTTATTTAGCACTTTTAATTTTGACACAAACGGCGCCTCATAAAAAAGCCTTGATAATATTAATAATAATTTGAAAATTAAACTTTGGCGTTGAATAACTTTTAAACCAATAGACTAATGGAAAAATTATAAGATACCTTTTTT